ATATCGGATATCGGCCAAAATCCCAATATCGTGCATCCCTAGGATAAACTGGTATTGATTATAGGTATGTTGGTCTGACCAGGTATGCTCAACTGACATCACCACCTCTAATTTGTTAAAAATAAATAAATAAATTCTCTTCAAAGAACCAAATTCATCAAAATCATCTGAACCCACAGGCTCTAAATATCGTTCCCCCCAAGATTATCTTATTTTTCTCCAATTCTCCATCCAGTCCTTGTACCACATCATGCGGTTTGTTTATATAGTGCAGGGTGGAATAATGTAAACAAAATCTGACTATAATTTGTGAGAAATTAAAGAGAAATTCAGCTGTTAAAAGCAGCCCAAAACAAAAAAACAAAACATGAAAGACCATCAGATTATTGTCACCTTGAATACTTTCTGTTGCTGTTCAATAAAAAGGTCCATAACCAGAGCTCAGGTCCACAGTTCAGCTGTTGATCTTCGCAGCTCTTCCCTTTCATATAATGATTACCCAACTCTGAAACCAGCTTAACTTGTTTGCTTCTTCCAGCAGTTGGTGCTCGCAGCATAACACACAAATACGTTTGTTAATGAATAAAATCAATAAGAGTGTTTATGTTTTTCTTTATATTTTCTTTTCTGTCTCCTTCCAGTCCTGACTTGATGTTAAGCCGTCTGGCCAACGTCCTCCAGGAGCTTTCTGGAGAGGAGGGTGCAGATGGAAACCAAGAGGTGATCCAAAAGAACACAGCAATTCAGAAAATGGGTCAATAAATAAAAACAAATAAATAAATAAAAACTTCCATTTGATCATTTGAATATGATTTAATATGGAGTCAAATATTCATACTTCATACAGCATGTTGATCTAAAAACTACAGCTCTGCTCATCCAGTCGATTATTACACCCATACAGTTCATTCCTAATGTATTTATAACACTTCTTTTTTTTCCCTAAACAACAAATGCAATTATATTTTATTGAGATTTTACGTAAAAGTCAACAACAAACAATTTGTTGCACTACCTTTCTTATTTTTTATCTGCTAAATGCAGTTTTTTTAAAAGTTATATTTTTCAGACGTTGCTTTTTGATGTATACAGTCCTTTAAAGTGGCCCAATTTTGCACGTAGATCCCCTTTTACTCAAATACTCCTTAATAAAATCAAAAGGAATGTGAGGGACCAAACTTAAATAAGGACAAAAGGTGTTCAAAATTTGAAAAAGTGCTTTCATTTAATTGTGTAAAAATGGTTAACAAAGACTCAAAAGCAACACAAAATAAGTTAAATACAGAATCTGGGCCCAACTTAACTGAGGTTAACCGAGGATCCAACTCAAACAAAAAACTGACCTCCAAACAAAGAACTAAAGGCTGCGTAAAAAGGGATGGAGTAACCCAAGTCTACCACATGAGGGAGGCACAACATAACAAAAGAACCAATAAATACAAAATGAACCATTCTATGAAACAAATAAAGCAAAACTAACTTTTACTTAACAGAAACAATAAGTGAGTATTTAAGTGACAAACTAATTGAAAACAACTTGAAACAAGTCTCCCCCGTCAGTCTTTCAAAAAGCAAATGGTACGCTCCAGGTTTCCTCCTACAGCTGGGTTGCATCAGCAGCACCTCAAACAAAAGAACAAGTGGAAATAAACCATTCAGACAGACATTAATTAAAGTGTGCACCCATTAGAAAATACCTGTCTAAAATAAATAACCAACTTAAACAAAAATTGTAATATAATATGAAGCAAGAAAAGAAAATACTAACACGATGTGGTGATGGGAGGATCATCCACCACAGGAAGCACTAGAAAGGCTCATAGTCTCTAGCTTGTCTTCTTCTTGTCTTCAAGGCCTCCTTCCTGTGTGATTTGGGAGTTTCCCTGTCACCAACCACCTGACTTCTATATACCTGGGATTCATTGACTTTTATAAGTCTTGTTGGCATTCTGAATATTAAATCTAAAACTTGGAGGGTAGTGTGAGCGCTCCATGTTTTAATGGATGCTTATCTGGGAGTTTTGGCTCTGAAATCCTTATTTCTTTTTGGCTTCATGACAAACATGAATTGGTGATACATGCTGCTGGCGGTATCATGATGTGGGCACTCTCAAACAGACAATATACTATGGATTTTTTTTCATATCTTAGAAACATTTAAATTCATCATCTTTCTTTTTGTAAGTATAGAAAATTGTAGAGAAAAAAAATCTTTTTAAATGTAATTTTATTTAAAAAATGGAAAATAAATTTTGGCTGTGAACAGGGCATGCTGGTTCCTCAGCTCCCTGCCGGAGAGGGTCCGACTCCGGGGGATGCTGAGGTTCCTGAGGACGCCATGGAGAGGCTGGCCCACCTGGAGCAGCTGGTGGTCCAGCTGAAGGAGCTCATTCGAGACAAAGACACGCAGCTGCTGCAGAAAGAGACTGAGCTGACCAACAAAGATGCTCAGCTTAAGGTGAATAAAATGTTTATATTTTTACCTCCATCTTGTTAAGACTTGGAATTAATGTTTTCCTTGGCGTTTGCAGAATGAGAAGGAAGAAGCTGAAGCTCGCTTCACCAAACTCAAACTCCAGGCTAAAGCCAAGATGGCGTCGCTCAACAAACAGATAAATGAGCTGAAAGGAGAAGCAGGATCAGCGGTCAGTCAGATATTTACGATCCTTTCACTCAAACTTTTAGATTTGTTCCTCTGGTTGTTTTAGCTGCATCTCTTCTTAGCTCCGTTTTGTCTCCAGCAGAGTGCGGACAGCTCGTTTACTGCTGCTGGTGCTGCGGTCGAGCAGGAGCTTCAGGACCTCAGAGCCAAGCTGAGTGAGGAGGAGGCCAACAGCCGGGAGCTGAAGGAGCGACTCGTGGCGTCTGAACAGCTGCTCCAAGAGAAGGAGGCAGCCCACGCCGAGCAGGTGACGATCCTTTAATTACTAGAACGAGCTCGGCTTTCCAGGTGTAACAAGGTTCTAATTAGTTAGATTTGGATTGATCTTTCTGTTGAAAGCTGCGGGTGCTGCAGGCGGTCGTCGCTGAGAAGGACGTCCGTTTCCAGGAGCAGATTCAGAGACATGAAGAGGAGCTGCTGAAGGTCAGCGCTCAGTCGCAGGACGGCGCTGAGCTGCAGCAGGTACAGCTTCCAGCTTCGGCACAGTTCACATGAGCCTTATTTAAAAAAAAAAAAAAAAAAAACACTTTCCTCTGACAAACCTGTTCAGCATGGGCAAAGTTTTACCAGCGTAACGCCGTGAAGGCTGGTTATCCTCCTGCAGCAGTGTGTTGCAGTGAGCTTGTCTCAGATATTTTTGATTTATGCCCAATGTTGAAGCGTGGTTATTCCACGCCCCAATGCAAGAGGGACAATCAGGAACTAGCTGTGGGTCTAGATACGGCCGAGGCGGTGAGGAAGTGGGGGCAAGTTTGTGCGAAACGGAGGGTGAAAAAGAGCGCGGATCCAGGTGGAAAAAGGCTCCCAGCGTTCTCACTCACCTCGCTCTTCTAGCTGATCCATCTTCATGAGTCGTTTTCCATAATGGCGGTCAAACAAACAAAACAAGCCGGTAAGGTACCAAACATTTTTTTTTCAGCATGACCATTGGAGGGCTGCATGACCACACACTTCAAATAATTGGATATGAAAGATGCTACAAATGATTCTCTCATTAAGAATACATTTTATATGAATTTATATCTGTTTACTGCACCAACATACAACTATTTTCTGCATATAAATATATTTTAATATGTCCTTCAGCAAAAGACAAACCGTTTGCTTTAAAAAAAAGTGCAAAAAGGAATTGAACTCCTTCATATCGAAGAACAAAAAGTTTGCTTAAAACACTGATTGCAAATAGATTTTGGGTATAAAATAAATGCATTTTAACGTCCTTCATAAGCAATAAAGACAAAATGTTTGCTTAAGAAGGTGCAAAAGGAATTTTAACTCATTCATAACAAATAATAAAAATGTTAAAAAAAATGATTGCAATATCTCACATTCAATAATAGAAATCAGACCACAGAGGCCCAACATTAACTGAAGCTAATGAGAGAGCTGTGGTTTGGCCTGCTGGCTCACAGTGGATTGGACGTCAATGTCAATTTTTGGTCCCAATGCGCATCAAAGTGTTTCATCTGTGATTCTGTTTCTCTCTTTGGATTTTATGTGCTTCATGGTGGGAAAAACTGCTCTCGCAAATGTAAGTTCTCCCAAACATACTGGCCATTGAAAGGGGAAAATCTCTGAGATGTGGAAAACCTGCTTTAGGAAGAATTCTCCAAAATGAGATTCCCTCACGTTGCGCTTTGATTAAAAGTGCAACGTGTCTGCCTGCAGCTCGCAGTGTTCGAGCTGCAGCTGTGATGGTTGCCCGCTGACCACAGCAGAAAGGGGGTCTGTGAATAACAGGCAATTTTTTGGATACTGTGCGCCCTCTATGGGTCAAAAGTATAACTACAGTTTTTATTTTATTTTTTTATTAAATAATTTAATTATTATTGATCTATTATATAGTTGCCCATCCCTGCTTTAGAATATGCTGGTGAACATTCTCAGTCTTCTAGGTCATAGTCATTCCAACAAATTTAAAAAAGTTTAAAAACAAACCACTGGACTTTGTTTTATAGTTTGAAGCTTTGAAGCAGGAAGATTCCTCAATTCAAATGTCTGGAGTAGCGATGAGTTTCAAGCTTTAAAGTGGCACAAAAAAAAGGTCTGATTATGTCTTAGAAAAAATGCAAAGTGGACTGAAATAAACAGGCCCACCCCTTAGTAATGGGGAGGTTTTAAAACCTTTTAAACGTCTTAGAACACTCTGTGGGATTATTTTCTGTCACACAAGCAGAGTGAGGGTAAAACTTTCCATGGCAGAGCATCCTGGCCTGCAGCCCAAAACCTGGATTCTCTGGTAGAAACTCGAAGTGAGAAAACATCAAGTTCTCTGAACGTTGCTGGTTATTTGGTCCTTTTCCTGGAATTTATGTCCTCTGCTCTCTTTTCTATATAATACATTTTTATTCCAGAAGATCCTGGTCCTTTGTCTATTTGTTTTTCTGGGAAACATTGGTCTGCTCTTTGGTTTTCCTCCTTAAAATGTAAAACAGCAGCAGTCTAATTCCTGTACAACAAAACAAATTTTAAATTTCCTTTGAGGCCCTCATATCCCCTTCAAGACTCATGAGCTGCTGCTGGATCTACAAACCAAATATTTGCAATTTAAAACCCGTCAAACCTCACCAATTTGATTCATCTGCTTGAGATTTTAGCAGCTTTTCAGCTGGAATAAATGTGGAGGTTTTATAATTTATCCCAACCTACAAAATATGCAAGAGTAAAAAAATTAAAAGATTTTAAGAGATGTCATATTTTTTTAAATACCTTTTAGCTCTGAGTTAATGGCAACTAAAGCAAAGCTGTTGGATGTCTTTCCATTTTCATATTTTTATATCGTTTCTGTTAGACCGTTAAATTATTCTGCAAACTGTTTTCTTAGTTCTTTTGTTTCTGATCACCTGTGTTGAGTTTTAAAAACATAAAGCTTGTATTTCTGCCTGCTCCAGGCGCTGCAGGCAGCTCAGCAGCGATGCACTGAGCTGGAGGAGGCTTTAAACTCTCGCTCACAAGAGCTGGAAATGCTGCAGCAGGAAGTGAGCAGCGCTGATCAACAAAAGCAGGTAGAGATCCTGGATCGACTCTTTAGGATAAAATATATCTGGACGTTTTATTGTGTACAAATCGTGTGCTATTTGTCCTTCTTCCAGATCCTGACGGCTCAGTTCCGGCAGATGGAGCAGGAGCTGACTGAGGCTGTGAGGTTGAGGCAGGAGTGGGCTGAGCAGGCCAGCCGGGGGGAAGCAGAGCTCGCCGCCCTCAGAGCCAGCCTGGAGGCTCTGGAGAAGGAGAGGATGGAGGCAGGGAGGCAGGAGAGCGAGCTGACCACTCTGAGAGAGGCAGCGCTCCTCAGTCAGCAGGACTTGGAGAAAGAGAGGATGGAGGTGTCCAGGTTGGAGGCAGAGCTGGCTCAGATGAAAGAAGCCGAGCTTGCAGCCGCCCAAGCGCACAGCGAGGCTTCGGGGAGAGACGAGGCGGAAATCGCACGGCTTCAAAGCGAAATCGCGTCACTTAGAGAAGCAGATTCTGCAAATAGCCAGGCCAGGGAGGAAACCTTAGAGCAAGAGAGGTCAGAGGTCAATAACCTGAAGAAAGAGCTGGAAGGCATGCAGAAGAAACAGGAGACTCTGGATGAAATCTGGAGACGTCTTTGTTCACTTTCTCCTGAAACGATGCCGGAGGATATCCCAGACCCTGCTGAGCCCTCTCTGATCCTGGACGCCGTGCGATCCGTAGAGACGCGCCTGACGACGCTGATGGAGGAAAGCAGGGAAAGGAGCGAGCAGTGTTCCCAGCTCACCCAAAGCATGGAGGCCCTGCAGGGTGAGAAGCTTTCCTCTGAAAATCTGAACACCTGAAGTTTTACCTAAAGATGAAAGTATTGATCAATTTAAACGTCTCATTTCCAGAACAACTTCACATAAAAACAGCAGAACAAGAGGAGGCCAGGGTCAGGATACAGCAGCTGGAGCAGCACATGGAAGAAGTCAGTATTTAATCACGATCTTTCTTTCTTTCTTGCTTTCAACGCTTTCACTCTTCTTTTTTTTTTTCATGCTTTCACTCTTTCACTCTTTTTTTCACGCATTCACTCTACCTTTCACACTTTGACTCTTTCACACTTTGACTCTTTCACACTTTGACTCTTTCACACTTTGACTCTTTCACACTTTTACTTTTTCTTCATACTTTTACACTTTTATACTTTTACTCTTTGTTTCACACTTTCGCTCTTTCTTTCACGCTTTCACTCTACCTTTCACACTTTGACTCTTTCACACTTTGACTCTTTCACCCTTTTACTTTTTCTTCATACTTTTACTCTTTTACACTTTTACTCTTTGTTTCACACTTTCGCTCTTTCTTTTACACTTTATTTCTTTCACTCTTTCTCACTTTAACTCTTTCACTCTCTCTCACTTTCACTCTTTTTTTATTTCACTCTTTCACACTTTCACTCTTCCTTTGACACTTTCACTCTTTATTTCTCACTATTACTCTTTCTTTCTCACTTTCACTCCTTCACACTTTCACCCTTTCACTTGTTCTTTCGCACTTTCACTACCTTTCACGCTTTCACTCTCTCTCACTTTCACTTTTTCAAACTTTCACTCTTTCACATTTTCACTCTTTATTTCTCTCTCACTTTCACTCTTTCAAACTTTCACTCTTTCAAACTTTCACTCTTTCACACTTTCACTCTTTCACACTTTCACTCTTTATTTCTCTCTCACTTTCACTCTTTCAAACTTTCACTCTTTCACACTTTCACTCTTTCAAACTTTCACTCTTCCTTTCACGCTTTCACACTTTCTCACTTTCACTCTTTCACACTTTCACTCTTTATTTCTCTCTCACTTTCACTCTTTCACACTTTCACTCTTTCAAACTTTCACTCTTTCAAACTTTCACTCTTTCACACTTTCACTCTTTCAAACTTTCACTCTTTCAAACTTTCACTCTTTCACACTTTCACTCTTTCAAACTTTCACTCTTTCAAACTTTCACTCTTCCTTACTTTCACTCTTTCAAACTT